TTTCTTCTGTGAAGCAGGAACCTGAAGGACCATCCTGCCTTGTTTTGACAAAGTTCAGTGGTCATTTTCTTATGGGTCCTGCATGTCCAGTTTATACAACATACAGTTAAGCAGTCCAGGTAAGAGCAGTTTCTTGCTCAATTGGCTAGCCTTTTCCACATTGTAAGCAAACTCCTTAACAAGTTTCTTTGATGCCCGTCATCCCCTTTGAAGTAATTGGTGCTGCCAGGAGTAGACGTGTCTCATTGTCTAAGTTCTAAAAACATTTTAAATGCCATATTCTGTAGGTCTTTGAAGTGTCTGAAGATTATCTATCTGAAATATACCTCTGCGTATCTAGAAAACCTAATTAATATGACTAAAAGTTTGACTATTATAGATGACAATTAATTTGTATTTTTTTCTATATATTACATTTTAAAATGAACTGCATAAACATAATACCTTAAACAAGAGTAGAAATATCCATACGGTATAACAAAATTAACTTTAAATTTGTATCAATAAACTAAAATCCATACTGATGTAAAATATGCAAGATTAACAGTTATTTTTTGGATTAAAGTAGACTTAATAATCTACCTCTTTTTCATCATTTTTGTATCAGCTCTGGGATTAAAGAGTAGGTGATGTGTCCTGAAGAGGCATTTGGGTATTGGTGGTCTCTGCTGTAGACAAGGAGAGTGACTGTCTTAAGGGGACCAGGGCATCTGTCCTGGTTGGGATGGGCGTCTTCTGAATGGCACAGAAAGAAGCTGATGTGGGAAGACTCTGTGTGTGTGTGTGTGTGTGTGTGTGTGTGTGTGTGTGTGTGTGTGTGTTACCCATGTGCTTTGAGGTTCCACAGGCTTTCCTTTCTTCCTCTTCAGAGCAGATCTCAATTATCCTACACTTCACTGCTTGTCTCAGTTAGGGTTACTATTGCTAGGATAAAACACCATGACCAAAAAGTTGGGCAGGAAAGGGTTTATTTGGCTTCCAATTACACATCACTGTTCATCACTGAACAAAGTCAGGACAGGAACTAAAGACAGTACAAAAACCCAGAGGCAGGAGCTGATGCAGAGGCCATGGAGGGGTGCCGCTTACTGGCTTGCTCATCATGGCTTGCTCAGCCTGCTTTCTTATAGAACCCAGGACCACCAGCCCAGGGATGGCACCACCCACCATGGGCTGGGTCCTCCATCCTTAATCATTAATTAAGAAATTGCCCTACAGGCGGATCTCATGGAGGCATTTTCTCAATTGAGTCCCATCCCTGCAGATAGCTCTAGCTTGTGTCACGTTGACATAAAACCAGCCAGCACACCACTATAATAACTGTGCGGTGTGCCTCTTCTACAAGACGCTTTTTGTAATCTAGTTGTGACAGTCTAACTCATCTCCTCAAGGCATAGCTCATGCCTTGTGACCCTTTTCTAATAGTGACAACAGACAGTCCCTGCCACAGCATTAGTGCCTTGCTTGTTGTACATTGCTGTGTTGAGCTCCTTAACGTGAGTGTTGATGACAGACCCAGGAGGGGTCATCGTCCTTCCCTCTAGAAGCATGGAGCAACAGCAGTCCTGAGCATCTCAAGCTGTGTTGTCTCATGCTGTGACCCCTTAGCCATGTGCAGCCATTTTCCTAAAACTTAGACGTAAGTGGAAGCTCAGTGGTCAGACTAGCCGTATATCACACACTCAAAGGGAACATGTCACTAGGGGCCCCCCCTGCACAGCACAGATAGAGACTTATTTTCTGTGCGGCAGAGAGTTATTTTGGGTAGCTTTGAGTTAGGAGGAGGACCTAGACCCTGAGTTAGCGTCTCCAGTCTTTTAATCGCCCCCTACTTTCCCCACATTCGCTGTACACATATACACTTCAGCCGAGCTTTGCCCCCTTTGGACAGCCTGGGCCCAGGCCACTGTTACATAAGCATCTTATTATTTTCTTGCACAACTTCACTCTCCATACAAGCTACTCACCACCCTCCGACACTCACAGGACTTTCGCCCTCCTTGTTCCTGCCTACCATGCAAATGAATTAACACCTGATCTTCTAGGTTAAAGTGACTTAACTATTTCTAGAACCGATTGGTTCCTTCTTTTCCTTCTTCTCTGCCCGAACCAGCTCTTGCCAGGGCTGCTTTTGGCTGCTACTAATTACGCTTTCTGGCTTTTCCTGAGAACCCACGGTGTGCCAGGGAGTTGGCCAAGCGCCGACTGCTCCTCAGAACTCTTTGAAGTGGGTAAGGCGGCTGTCTGTCTCCATTTCACAGACCCAGTAACCACTGTACTGAAGTGGGAAGGGCATATCCCACTGATTTTTCTGCTTCCAGGCTTTCTCAGGCAGTCCCTCTTCACAGTACTACCAGGCCATATTTCTAGAACACAGTTACTCCCGGCCATGGGAAGGGAGGCGATGTTGCAAGGCTCTGCATATTCAGTCTCCAAGCTCAAAATCCACCACTCCCCCTCAAATCCAACAGTCCAGCTACAAGCAAAACAAACCAAAACAAAACAAAAACCTGTTACTGCTTTCAGAACATTCAGAACATTCCACTGTGCATGCTTCCCTCAGGGCTGTCTTCATGCAGACTGCTCCTAATTCCCAGGATATTGTCCATCCCAGCTAGCCCTGTGGCCATCTCTGGCAGTGCTCTGGACCTCTAGGCTCCGTTCTCTGAGCAACCAACACTTCATCTCCACCTGCCGTCCACAAGAGGGTCGAAAAGGACTTGTGCATCAAAACCATTCCTTGTTAAAAAAAAAAAAAAATTCTTCAAGCCAGGTGTGGTGGCTCACACTGTAATTCTAGTACCCCGGAGGCCGGGCTGGAGGTTTTGACTTTGCAGCCAGCCTAGCCTAGGCTGACAAAGCAATGTCAAATCCAGCCTCGTCTGCACAGTGGGACCTTGTCTCAAAATTCAAAAGGCACCTAAACCAACCAATCAAAACAAACAAAAGCACTTCAACATTAAAATTTGAGTAAGCAAGAAGGGCACTGGGATTACTTTGGATATTTTTCCTTGAACTCACTCTGTAGTCCAGGCTGGCCTCGGACTCACAGAGATCAGCCTGCCTCTGCCTCCCGAGTGCTGGGATTAAAGGCGTGCGCCGCCACTGCCCAGCCCCAGATTATTTTGGAGCCAGGCAAATTCGGCTTCCACCACTTGCTTGGCCACTGAGCATTCCTACTTGGGCTGCTTGTGTGTGATACACTTCCTTGTTCTTTACTGCTCACCTAAGTCATTCAGAGGCATCTGTTCAACAGATGTTCATTAAGGGGGTTTGGGACACTCTGCTAGGTGTGGGTGCCCACGAAACCGGCACCACTGCTGGTCGTGGACTTGATATTCTAGAAGGGCGAATCAGGCAGAACAGCAGCCCTGAAGACATCCGCATCTGAGTCCCTACAAGCTCCTGCGAGCTGGGAGTCCCTTGCAGGAGTTTTGCTGAAGTGAGGAAGTTAAGGATCTTGAGATGGAGAGATTAGCTTGGATTACTGTTGTCCTTACAAGAGAAAGCGGGAGGGGGAGAGGGCGGGGAGTCTCAGCGCTCTGCACTGCCCAGAAGCTGGAACAGCAGGCAAACAGCTGCTCCCTGCCACCTCCCTGGGGAGGCTGCCCTGGAGTCTCCTTGCTTTTAGTCCAGTGACACCGCTCTTTGGACCCTTGACCTCTGGTCTGTAATACATTTGTGTTGCTTTAGACCAGGACATTTGTAGTAACTGTTGCAGTAGTGAGAGGAAATGTTTGCAAGGAACTCTAGTTTCTTACACTGAGGGGGGTGTAGGGGTGTGGTTGGCCCCGCCAGAGGATTCTGGGTCCTGGGGTGCAGAGCCCGGCTTCTGCTTTGACTTTTCCTGTTAGCGACACACACTTATGAAGCTGGGCTAGTGGGAACCGTGGGATTCTGCCATGGATGCCCTGCAGAGGCTGGGACAAGCTCGCAAGGAATTTGGGAGTGACAGTTATGAAGACGAAAGGGAAAAGTGAGGAGTGTGTGGAGCAATCTTGTGTGACGTGTGTGACTCTTGGGGGAGAGGACTCACGGGTTAGGAGTATGGGCAGAAAGAATTTTCTGTTTTGTTTTGTTTTTGAGACAGGTTTTTTCTGTGTAGCCCTGGCTGTCCTGGAACTCACTCTGTAGCCCAGGCTGGCCTTGAACTCCAGAGATACGCCTGCCTCTGCCTCTTGAGTGCTGGAATTAAAGGTATGTGCTACCACCTCCCGGGCCGGGGAAAGAATTAATATCTTAGTTGTATACTGTATTATTTTAGATTTTTATTTTTTATTTTACTTATTAATTTAGGGGGAGCCAGGGAATCAAACCAGCTGTCCAGGTTTGGTTTGGTTTCCCCTCCCAGACAGAGTCTCCCTTGCCTTGGCCACTTTTTCCCCAAGTGCCAGGATTATATGTGTGGGCCATCACACCCAGTTGATGGTTTTTTCCTTGTTGTTTGTTTTGGTTTTGTGACTGGATCTCATTGCCTAGCTCTGGCTGCCCTCGAACTCACAGAGATCTGCCTGCCTCGCTGCCTCTGCTCCTGCCGGTTTAAAGGCATGCGCCACTACACCTGGCTAGTTTCTATAGTCGTAACTAGAAATTTTAATCTTAAATCTTACATGCTGATGAGTTTCCCATTCAAAATTTAATCCCAGAACTCAGGAGGCAGAGTCAGGAGGGTCTCTGTGAGTTCCAAGCCAGCCTGGTCTACATAGCGAATTCCAAGACAGCCAAGGCTACGTAGAGGGACCCTATCTCAAAAAATTTCAAAACCTATTTTAAAATTTAAAAAGTAACCATTGCAGCTGGCTCGGGTAAGGCCTTATTTCCAGGCCCGCCAAGGACCCGCTAGGTAGCTGGGGTCTGGGGATGAGCTCAAGACCCTGCTCTTCCACCAGGGGTCGCCGGCCTTTGCCAAGCCGCGGTGGCGGGGTCAAGCTTGTGTCGCGAGCGGCCTCCGGCCGGGGAGGGCGCTGTGCCGGCGGCACCGGGGGGCGGGTTGGGGGCGGAGCGCCGGGCGCCGGCGGCTCAGGCTCGGGCTCGGGCTGGGGCTGGGGCTGGGGCTCCAGCTCGGGCCCTGCTGCACCTGTGACTCGGCGACGCTGCTCCTCCGCTGCTGCCCCGCGCGCGCGCGCTGCCCCATGGCCCCGTCCCGGCTGCAGCTCGGCCTCCGCGCCGCCTACTCCGGCTTCAGCTCGGTGGCCGGCTTCTCCATCTTCTTCGTCTGGACGGTGGTCTACCGACAGCCGGGGACTGCGGCTATGGGGGGTCTCGCAGGTATCTCGGGTGGGGGGGCGCGGGGCGGGCGGGGGTGGGGTGGGGTGGAACTGTCAGCGCCCCAGTGCGCGCAGCGGCTGGGGCGGCGCTGTCCCCGGGGCGGGAGCGTTGTTTACCCCAAAGAGGCCAGTGGCAGCGCAGGCCCGGGTTTCTGGGCATTGCCGGGGCCTCTGGGACCTGATGCCTTCTGAACGTGGCGCGACCTAGGGTGCCGACTGCCGGACGCCGTCGTCTGCACAGCTCTGCCGCGCTGGGGTTGTCGGCGTCCGGGCACCCTGTCGGTCTACCCTCCGCCCAGGGGCCACTACCTCGCCCTCTGCGCGCCCACTCCCTGGCCACCCTCGCTCCGGCAACACACATAACCGCTTCTGCGGGATTCCCGCGTCTCTTATAATAAGTGGGGGTTCGCGGGGAAGCCCATCAGCCGGCCCCAGAGGCCCTCAGCGGAGACCAGGACCGTGCTGTGGGATCTAGTGTTACTGGACATTTCCTTTGCATCCGCGTCCATCTGCTGTGGATCCTCAGTGGGAATTTGCTAATCCCCCAAGGAGGGGTCAGGAGGCACCAGAGGTGAAGGCCCACTGTTCAGCTGTACTCTGTACTTAATGTGCAGTTTTGGTCACGCCGTTTCATCTCTGTGCCAGAGAAGAGGCGTGAAGGCCAAATGTATTATTTGTACTTAATTAGCATAATTTAATACTTTATGCTGTGCTAAGCAGTCTACTCCCCTTATTTCATCTAATCCTTATATCAGCCCTCTGAAGTAGGCATCCTTGTACCCATTTCACGGTTAGAAAAAGAGAGGCTTAGGGTAAATAATTTGTCCAGGGTTACAACAGTCACAAGATGGCCCAGCCTTGAAAGCCTGGCGGACCTGAGTTCCATCCTTAGAACTCAGAAGGAGAGGTTGAGTTCTTGAGAGTTGTAAAATTCAGATTAGCATACTAAAGGCATTAAAAGTCCTACTAAGAACATTAGCCCAGTTGTACAATAGCTGCATGAAACTATATGTATGGGGAGAAGTATGGGTAAGGATGACATTTAATATACAATGATCCTATTCCATGACTAACATCCTTGACCAAAAGATCCGTAAATGGAGTAACTAAAAATAACTAATTCACTCTGGGCACAGCAGTACTGCCCTTTAATCCCAGCACTCGGGAGGCAGAGCCAGGCGGATCTCTGAGTTCAAGGCCAGCCTGGTCTACAGAGTGAGTTCCAGGATGGCCAGGGCTACACAGAGAAACCCTGTCTAGGAAAACAAAAACAAAAACAAAAAAACATAGAACCAAAAAACCAAACAAACAAACAAACAAAAAAAAAAAAAAAAAAAAAACCCCACTCATTGCCACGGAATGCACTGAGTGCCACCCCGAGGTGGAGAAGGAGCCCTAGGTGTTTCTGTCCTATCAGAGGGCATGCATGGCTCCTAAACCAAAGCCGTGCCAGGCCAGGTCCTGGGGTCACCAAGAAGGTTCAGTGTGATGCCCTGGCTGGGAGTTCTCAGGCCTGCCACCTGTGGACTCCTGACCTAGCTGGGACAGCCAGCACTGAGGGCTGGTGTGTGCTCAGAGCCTTCCTCCTGGACGCCCTCCTCCACACTTCCCATTGGCCCCGTTGCCGCTGGGTTGGAAGGCACTGCCAGGGCCCAAGGCTGGATGCTGAGACTTGAGATAAGCGCTTTGGCTGCAGGGAGGAGGGCGGGCATTGCCTGGGATCAGCTGGCTAAGAGTCTGCCCTGTGGGAGTAGAGGTGATCTCTCCCTAGCTGTGCGAGGCATGGCAATGCCTGCTAGGTGTCCACTTCCTCTTCTAGAAGGAGTAGGAGGAGATGCCGCTTCTCCTCTAGGTCTGCAGGGCTGTGTGCTACTGTCCACTCTCCACGGCTCTGTGTCTAGCTGCCCCTTAAAGAGCAAGGGAAGGTTCCAGCCCCCATGCCAGGCCGCCACCGGGCCGCCACCGGGGCCTCCCTCCAACCCATTCTCTGCCTCTTCTCTCCTTGATGGCCTTGCTTGGCCAGAGGCAGGCTAGTGGTGGAGCTACCTTGAGAGACAGGCACTTGGCAGCAGTTAGCTAGAGAGCAGGGGTTCATCTCCCAGCTAGTCTGGTCTCTGGCAACCGTGGCCATGGAAGAGCCATAACTGGTCGGTGGTGGTGGCTGGTGGGCAAAGCGTTGTCAGGCCAGGGCCACACTCTTCCCCCATCCAGTGTGGGTTGCAACAAGGGTCCCACAGCCAGCCGCCCTGCCCTTCTTCCTCTTTTGGGGTGAAGTGTCAGCAGCCCTTCTGACTTGCAAGCACCCCACTACTGACTCAGCATTTCGTAGTTCAGAAATTGCTGAGTCACAGAGGTCCGTCCCAGCGGTTTTTGCACATGTTGGTCAGCTGTGGCTGTTGGGCATGCTGGCTTCTGGAACAGGGTATGTGTATGGGCGTTTGAGGTGGGGACACCCTCTTATCCTGGCAGGAATCTGGGAGGAAGTGACTTTGCAGAAAGGCAGTGACCTAAAAAAAAAAAAAAGGGTGGGTTCAGCAGAGAGAGGCCTCATTGGAACCCCACTCTGGTTCTGCACTGGGAGCCCTCGTTAACATGCCTGCTGCGTGTTTAGAAAACCATGGATAGTAATGCGTTTGTACCCCACATCCAAACAGCTCCATGCTCTTCACAAATGAGCTTTGATAGAGGAACTCTGGCACCCTGGGTCTTCTGTGTCCTCTGGGCTGGAGTGTGTCCTCAGAGCCACATTACCAAGTGTCTGTATTTACTCCACAGGCTCCCTTGGGTACCCCCAAGCCTCCTCTCAAGCCCAGCATCTATCTGGAGGTGCTTTCCCTAACCAGGCCTATGAAGCCAGAGGCTAGGCAGGCCTAGCCTTGGAGAGGTAGCGTGGAGCCAGGATGAGGTGGGGCTTGCTCCTGTAACCCGATGGAGCAGGGGACTCATCCATATTGCCCTGAGTTGCATAGACCAGGCATCCTGGAGTCCTTGAGTATCCTAGGAAAGGGAACAGAGCAAGACAGGGTATAGTTGCATTCCTTGAGTATAGGAAGGGGCCAGGGAGGGGCACTTCCTCGGTGACCACTTGTGGAGGAAGCATCTCTCCAAGGAGGGCCAGGGTGGGAAATGGCCTCCAGCCTGTTTCCCTAGCATGAATACTGGACTGGATTCAGGGGGAGTGCTTGGCTACAACCTGGAGCATCTCGAGCCACCCTCCTCCTCCTCCTCTTCCTCTTCCTCCTCCTCCTCCTCTTCTTGTTCCCAGCACTTCTGGGCACATGTGGGGGTGAGAGTTTGAGGGAACCCCTGGGTCATGCTGGTGGTCTGAGATGACATCTTTATACTTCCTAGTTCAGCATTTTCTAACCCAGACTTTGCTGAGTCACGGAAGAATTGCTCTGACCTTCTTTTTCCACTTTCAGCCGGCTTCCAGAGTCTTCGAGTGGGAAAGGGTCTTAGAACTCGGTTATTGCACCCCCTTTTGTGGGAAGAGGAGGGAGGACAAGTCACTGGAAGGATCTGGTCTGTCCCCGAAATGCTCAGTGACAAAGGCTTCATCTCTTGGGGCCATTTAAGAAACCAGATGCAGCCTGGTGGCGGTGGCGCACGCCTTTAATCCAGCAGGTGGATCTCTGTGAGTTCGAGGCCAGCCTGGGCTACAGAGTGAGCTCCAGGAAAGGCGCAAAGCTACACAGAGAAACCCTGTCTTGAAAAACCAAAAAGAAAGAAAAAAAGAAAGAAAAGAAGCCACATGCAAGTCTTAGGGGTGGAGCTCCCTGTGGAAAAGCAAAGACTGTGCACAGTACCCTGGGTTTGATCTCAGTGTCCCTAACAAGAGAATCCAACCAACTCCCTGCTGGCGGAAACTTCAGGAGGTTTCTGGGATAAAATCCAGATCATGGAGGCTAGAGTAGAGATTAGTATTCTGTCTACCTCTGGCCTGCTGCAGCTTCCTGCCAAGACAGAGATGGGAACGTGTTTGTTTTCATCCACCCACAGCCCAGGGGTAATGGGGACTCATTCCAAGGAGGAAGACTGAAGGCCAGCTCGGGCTGAACTGAAGGAAAGGGGGTCCGGAAGAGGGGTGACAGACTGGCAGGTGGGGAGAGCTGGGTGAGGTGGGTGGGTTGGTGGGCTCCTGCCCACACAGGGAGGAGTCCAAGATTCCCTGCTTACCCAGACTGGCGGGACCTCAGGACTGGACCATTTTTACATTCGGCAGCACACCGGTGCCCGGCTCCAAGTTTCCTGGTTTGTATTATCCCTGTTTTGGTTTTGCCCTGAGTGTGATCGTTAAGCCGGTCACCATAGCCTCCTGATAACTAGATTCTTCTGCTTGCCACCCCAACCTTCTGTCTTGTAACTTTAAAAAGTATAAAACATTTCAGGCGTGTCAAGAGGAGGAACAATTTAACAAATGTGTGTGCTCATTCCCCAGCTGCCAAGAAATAAAATGTTTGGTGGGTGTCGGAGGGCCCCTTTGCTTCCCCCTGTCCCTGAGACCTCCTTCCCAGCCAGATGGATATCTGTCCTTCTGAAAAGTCACAGCACTTTGTACTGTATGCAACAGATGATTTGAAAGGGCCCCCACCTCCTGGGTGCTGGCAGCCTGGGGGGGCCTGCCTGCAACCCGTGGCTGGACTGAGAGATTACAGCTGGCCATCTCTCTTCTCTCATTCTTTGCTGGCCTGGCTTCACAACTCTTGCTCTAGGTCCCTGCCAATGGAATTGGTGTTTGTCTCACTATGTGATCCACACCAGCAGGCACTGCCTGGCACTGAGGGTTGTATTGTGTTCTATTGTATTGGCTGAGAGCATCCTAGGAGAAGCGCCCACCAGGCGCAAGAGGGCAGGCCCGGAAGGGTCTGGGATGGTAGCCTGCCCTTTGCCTCACAGTGGAGGGATGGCATGAGACCTAGCCCAAAGCAAGTAGGCCACGTGGGTGCTGGTTGGCCTCGGGGGCCCTCATGACAAGGCTTCGTTTTTCAGCAAGACCAATGTAGAATTGAGGAGAGCCCTGCTGCCCAAGAATTCAGCTGCGGACTCCAGGACCCAGAGGACCAGGCAGAGGAGGAGTGTGGGAGGGGCATGCTCCTCCACCTCTATGGCTTTGGATAGGCATGAGGAAGTCTCATTTCAGGAGCATTGTATGTAAAGTTCTCAGAGTGAAATGCCAGACAAATTCTGTTTAGGTAGAGGCTATCTGTGGCCATGTGTTTATTAGAAACTAAAACTGAGACCCTTTTAAGCATTTTACTTCTATACATACTTAACCTTTTGTTTATTTATTTAGATTTTTCGAGACCTCTGTGTCACCTTGGTTTCTCTGTGTAGTCCTGGCTGCCCTGGAACTCACTCTGTAGACCAGGCTGACCTCGAACTCAGAGATCCACCTGCCTCTGCCTCCCAACTGCTGGGATTAAAGGCGAGCCCCACTGCCCAGCTAACACAGTATTTTCAAGCTGGGTGTGGTGGCACATGCTTGTAATCCTAGCACTTGGGAGGCTGAGGCAGAAGGATCACAAATTCAAGGCTAGCATGGGCTATATAGGACTTTGTCTCAGCCTTTTGGTGGCTCATGCCTTTAATCCCAGCACTACAGGAGACAGAGGCAGGCGGATCTCTGTGAGTCTGAGGCCAGCCTGGTCTACAGAGTGAGTTCCAGGACAGCCAAGGCTATATAAAGGAAACCCTGTCTCCAAAAACCAAAAAGGAAAAAAGGAAAGAAAGAAAGAAAGAAAGAAAGAAAGAAAGAAAGGAAGGAAGGAAGGAAGGAAGGAAGGAAGGAAGGAAGGAAGGAAGGAAGGAAGGAAGGAAGGAAGTGTTGTTGGTATTTTACCCTTTTGGGGGGGCCTGCCACCCAGCTCCCAAATAAAGTCATACACGGAGGCTTATTATTACTTATGAATGTCTGGCCTTAGCTTGGCGTAGTTTCTTGCCAGCTTTTCTTAACTTTAAATGATCCCATCTACCTTTTGCCTCTGGGCTTTTCCGTTTCTATTCCTGTCTACCTTTCTTTGTTTCTTACTCCGTGGCTGGCTGTGTACCTGGGTGGCTGGCCCCTGGAGTCCTCCTCCTCCTCTGGCTCTTCTCTCTCCACTCCTCCATCTCGTTCCTCCCCTCTTACCCAGATTTCTACTTTTATTTATCCTCTCTGCCTGCCGGCCCTGCCCATTTCCCTCTCCTGCCTCACCATTGGCCTTTCAGTTCCTTAGTAGACCATCAGGTGTTTCAGACAGGCACAGTAACACAGCTTCACAGAGTTCAACAAATGCAGTATAAACAAAAGTAACACACCTTAAAATAATATTCTACAACAGAATAGGACCTTGTCTCTCTCAAAAGAAGTAGAAGAGGAGGAGAAGGGGGGGAGGAGGAGGAGGAGGAGAAAGAAAGAAAAAGTTGGTGAAAGTAAAAATTACCAAGAATGGCATGGTTTGGTTCTCCACAAATCTCTTCAATGCCTGGCTTTCTGGAAGGCAGCTGAAGTCCCATGCTTCCATGTTCAAGTGGGAACATCCCACCCCACAGGCATCACGCCACTGTCCTGAGGGCCAGTCTTCTTAATGTCACTGTGTGAGTGGATCTGGCCGAGTGGACTTAAGGGCCCTAGTATCGGGGCCCCTGGGCCTCCAGGCCGAGCGAGAGGGGGCTACAACCTGACAGGCAGGTGCCTGGGTCGTGCTGACTGAGTCTGTCCCGGCAGGTGTCCTGGCGCTGTGGGTCCTGGTGACTCACGTGATGTACATGCAGGACTACTGGAGGACCTGGCTCAAAGGCCTGCGGGGCTTCTTCCTCGTGGGTATTCTCTTCTCAGCCGTCTCCGTCTCTGCCTTCTGCACCTTCCTGGCACTGGCCATCACCCAGCACCAGAGTAAGGACCGTCCAGGGAAAGGAGGAAAGGGGGGGGGGCGCTCCGGGGTAGGGAGCAACCTGGGACTATACCCTGGGACTCCTGTCCAGTTTCTGTTGAGTGCTATTCTAGGGACTGAATGCATCATCACTCGACCTCCCCTGCCGGGGTTCCTGGCTGTTAAAGTGGGGAGGATGGGAGCCCATACCTCCTCAGGGACAGGAGAATTCCAGACTGGTAGGAAGTATTAGGGACAGGCGTGGCCCACATCAACACCTCCCACCCCAGAGTTGCTGGGGTCCTTTATTCTCTGCCTAGCTCCAGGAGGGCAGCACCCCCTGGTGGCTCTAACAAGAAGTAGCCAGAGGCCGTCCCCTGTTGGATGCAGGTTGGAAGTGGCCTGGGTGTGTGCCTCAAAAGGGGAGTGGATGGTACAGACCTTCAGGTGAACTCTGACCTCCTCTCACGCCCCAGCTTTGTGACTACACATGCAGGGGTGCCCTAAACCTGCGCCAAACACCAGTCTTCCATTTGCATTGGTTCAGAGGCCCGGAGGATCTAGGGATGTGGAGTGGGTAGGAAGGGGGGTCTTGGCCTTGTGGCCACTGTGTGGTATGGGTAGATCTCTCAAGTTACCATCTGGCGCCTCTCCCCTGCAGGTCTCAAAGACCCAACCAGCTACTACCTCTCCTGCGTCTGGAGCTTCATCTCCTTCAAGTGGGCCTTCCTCCTCAGCCTCTACGCCCACCGCTACCGGGCCGACTTCGCTGACATCAGCATCCTCAGCGATTTCTGACCCAGGGAATGAGGTCATTCCAGCCTGGGGGCCCCCAGGACCAGTACTCAGCTTCTGAGTCATCAAGTGAGCCTGGGGGACTCCAGAACCATGGCAGAGCATATCCAGCAGGGCCAGTTCGGTTTCCCAGAAAGCCGTCTGGTCCCCCTTTTTGGGGAGACAGAACTGTTGAAGGGGCACTGCCAATCTGCCCATTAGCCTGGCTAATGGGCAGCTTAGACCTTTCCAAATGGATCTATTTTCTTAGCACTCTGAGGAATCTTTGTAAGTAGGGCCACGATAATGGACTCAAGGTGTCAAGGGGTAGGACCGTGAGGTCTGAACGTCTGGTGAGGGGCAGGGTTGGAGACAGGCTTCCTTGATGTCCTAGACGTCACTGAAGCCGTGTGTGTGCGCGTGGGGGAGGCATCTGGAAAGGTTTGATCAAGTAAGGAATCTCCAGTAGAGCTCTCCAAATCCCACCCCAGCGCCTCCACCCTGTTGTCCTCAAGGGTCAGGTAGCTGAATTCATCAGTCCCTAGGGAAGTGACAGTTGGCTCTGTCCCCAAGCTGCAAGACTGAACAGAACCCAGTGTCTCTCCCCCTCCCTTCCCTCCAGAGTCTGTTTCCCACGAGGGTGCTAGAGCCCGCCAACCATTCCTGTGTGTCACACGCGCACACATGACCACACATTGCCAGAGCTGGGCTCCTCGGATGAGGCTAGACCTGAGGACCACAGGAAACACACCCATGCACCTACCTAGAAGGGCTTTGGGATAAGAGGGCAAGCTGGTGGGGGCTAGAGAGCACTACACCTCTACGCCTGGGTCTCCAGCCTTGCACGTTCACCTGACCCTCACTGCACAAGACCACCCCGACCACGAGGACCTCTCCCTGCACCGAACCCCAACACTGACGCTCATCTCTCTCCTGAATGGACATGGGCCCAAGGCCCCACCTAAGTAGAGAGGTGGAGCGGGGGCCGCTACGTTTATCCTTTCTTGTTAGGTTGTCACTTTGCACGTCCACTTCTCCACCAGGGTCCCGCCCTCGCTCTCTGCCTTACACTACTGTCACTTTAGCAGAAATACAGCGGCCGTTTTTATCAGCCTCAGGGTGTTTCTTTGGGGGGGGGAGCGTCTTGAGAGAGGACTGTATGAGTGGATGAGGTGGGGCCTCCACCTATCTGATTATATCTCTAAGGTAAGCTCTGGGCGAGCGGGCAGCCTGCCCTCTTGGCATGAGGAGACCACTAACTCAGACCTCCTTTGCTCCCCCAGCCCTGCCCTATGGGGCCAGGATGCTCACAGCCTCAGCATCCCTTGCAGATTCCATACCACCCCCTAGGTCAGAGAAAGAGAATCTTTTTTTCTTTTCCCCCTCCTACTCCAAACAGACTGCTTGGGGCTCCAAGGTATATGGTGACCAGGCTGGGCAGACTTAGAACCAGAAAGACAGGAGCTGGCAATACCCCCCCCCCCCCCCGTTATGCTGGGCACGTTTTTTCTGGCCTCTTGTCTCATCCATCCTTTTACTTTACAATCTATACTTAAAACATCATGGTAAGGAACCAGAAGCCATGTCCACACCTAGGGCCATTTACTGAAAGATCCAGGAGGCGGTGACTACAGACACGGCAGGACTTAAGCCCAGGTGTGTGCTTCATGACCTTTTTGGGGTGTCTTGGCAAACTGAGCCTGAGAACTTGTCCCATATCCCACAGGGCCCAGTCTGTAGGGCTCAGCCCGGGATCATCTCCTTTTTCACCTGGGTTGGTGGTAAGCATGTATTTGGAGTGGGTTCTTCCTGCATGCAGTAGCCGTGGGAGGGTAAGGGACTAGAGAGTCTGAGTTCGGCCCCAACTTGCCCCCTTTCTCAGCCCATCGCAGGGTGCCAGGTGAGCACCCACCCCACTGATGATGTATCACTAACATCCAGGAGGCATACTCACAAGGCCTTTAAAGCAAATAAAACATTTATTGTTCAGGTTTTTTTTTTCCATTTTTTTTTTTCTTTTTTACAAAAAACATGCACACATACACAAGGTATGGCAGGTCTTGGGAAGACATACACGCACACACTCTGGCACGCACACGCGCACACACATACGCACAAATACTCTTTCTTGGCCCCGGGCCTGGACCGCAAAAGCCTTGAAGACTTCTGGGGTGGCCTCCCCGCTTCCACGTCTGTCTACTCCTCTACCTTATCCTGCCTCCGTCAAGCTAGTCCTGTGTGGGGCAGCAGTCAGAGCTGAGGTGGGGGAAACCCCAGAAACAGAAGGCACGCTCACACTGGGAGCAGTGGCCAGGCATCCCTGGGACTGTGTTGTGCTTTTAAGGGGAGATGAAGGTTTGGCACCATTGGGTCAGGAAGCCCAGGACTCGGAGAGCACCTGTCTGCTGCACCAGGGCACTGAGATGGTCCACGTAGGGTGGCCTCTGGCAGGACAGTGACCAGATGGGAGGCTTGCTGGTGACTGACTACTCACAGGGAGAAAGCAGCTCAGAATGGCTCTCTGAGCTCAGAAGTGCTACCAGAAGACAACTGAGGAGGAGGTGAGAAGAACTCTCCTGTACTCAGGAATAGGGGACCCCTGGCTCCTGCTACTCCCCTAGCCCTTCAGAACCTGGGAAGGGCCGCCCTGGCTGAGGCCAAGTTCACATTTCTGTATGGAGCCCGGGGCGGTGTGCAAAATCTGGGGGTCTTCCAAGTTAAGAATAGTGGTAGTGGTGGGCCCACCTGAAGCAGCCCTCCTCTGTGCAGTCCTGAGGGATGGAGGCCACAGCTAGGGGCCTGGACACCAGGGAGCTGGATCTGTTCTAGAAGAGTCCAGCTGAGCCCTAGTGCCCAGCCTGCCTCCTCCCAGGATCCTTCCCGGTCCCCATCCCAGACCCAGTGGCCTTCTCAAGTTCCCTGGGGTAGCTGTCAGGGTAGGTTGTGCTCTGGACCTGACTACCTGCCCAGAGGGTCTCTGCAGACCCAGGAACAGGGTTGACAAAGAGGTGAGGAAAGCCATGTCTGAAGGGCAGGTGATCTGTCCTGACGTCCTAGAGATTCATAGGTTCTTCCTCTTCCACCAGTTGCTCTGAGGGCCTGAGTGGGATAAGGGCAGGATGTCGGAAGGCCGGAGAGCTGCGGGCAGGGCCTTAGTGGCGTTACCCTCACAGCCCTACTTCAAAGGCTTGAGACTATTAGCTGTGTGAGAATCTGCGGTCTTCAAGTTGGGAGGATCCAAAGGCATTAGAAGGCCATGGGCCTAGGGCTGGGGGTCTGCATTACCTGTCTTCAGCCAGGATACCCACGGAGAGGGACGCCAGTGCGGTCACGGCTTCCACTTCTGCATCAGCCCCTGGCATTCTGGGCAGCCAAGAATCCGGACGGGAGGCCAAGTGCTGCAGGCAGCCCCAGTATTTCCCTAGGACAAGAAGCTGGGTCAGAAAGACAAGCTGTTGGAGCTATATCCTAGACTGATACCAAGGCTAGGGTCACGGGCCCAGAGCCCAAGAATAGTGGCCACGTCATCAGCTTGGGGTCAACTCCCCTTCCTGCCCTCACCTCTCAGCAAGACATCTCCCAACTTATCCCTTCCCTACAGCCCTGGGTAACGGCAGATTCAACAAGGCTATGAGGCTATCTTCACAGATAACCAAGCCCCTTTCCTACCCTCCTTGGCTAAAATTCCACTCTAGAGGGCTGGTGAGATTAGATCAGCAGTTAAGAGCACTGTGGCTGCTCTTCCAGAGGACCTGGGTTTGATTCTCAGCATCTACATGGTAGCACACAACATTCTGAAACTTGGGTTCTAGAGATTCTGATGCCCTCTTCTGGCCTATAAGGGCATTGCATGCACATGGTATATGGCCATGCACACAGACAAAATACCCCTACACATAAAAAAATAATTAAAAAATAAAAAGTAAACCAGACACACTTAATCCTAGCACTCAGAAGGGTGAGGCAGTTGGATCACTGAGTTCAAGGCCAGTCTGGTTTATATAATGAGTTCCAGGACAGCCAGGGCTATATAGGCCCTGTCTCAAAAATCAAAAATAAATAATAAAAGACCAATTCCATAGGTGGGTGGATTCTAAAAGCACCAGGCAGGTCCACTTGTCCCTACATCAGGTTTATGTCAAGATTTGCTCATATGTCCCTGTGCCTTGGTTTCCTATAGCACAGGGTCCCCCTCATGTGGCCTCCATAGTGCTCAGGCTACCCCCAGGAGGCCAGGCATGGTAGTAAATTCCTGTAATTCCAGCAGGTAGAGGTTGAGGTAGGAGGCTCACACACCAGAAGGTAGCCTGGGCTACATAGTGAGACCCTGTATCCAACAAAACTAAACAACCCAAGAGCTGAGGCTGGAGCTCAGCAGCAGAGTGGAAAAGTCTAGCCTGTGCAAGACCCCGGGTTCAATCACTAGTACTGAACAGGGGTGGGGGGTGGATGGGAGGCAAGACAGTCATGGCACAGAGCAGGGGCAGGCATCTCCCCGGCTGCTCTGCACAGCCACTTCCGGTCTATGGGACACCCATCATCCTGCCGTTCTGAGACAGTGATAGACATGGACCAGCTCAGTGCAGAGCCAGCCCACGGGAGGTTCCACAGACAGCTGTATCCGTGGTTATGTGTCTGTCTCCCCAGCCAAGCCCCGGGTATGGAGAATCTGCTTTATTCATCTTCGTATCCCAGTGGAGGTTTGGGGCCTTCACAGGAAGTGCTCAACAGAGAGATGCCTGGTTGAAGTTGAATCTTTTTAACATGTTTTCCAAATGTGGGCTCTTCAAAGGGGTTATTTATGTTCTGAGACCCAGGAAGGCCCTCCCTCCCCACAGCTCTGCAGTCACTGTGGACAGCACGGACGAGGTTAAACCAAACCTTTTTGGCAAGCAAGGCCTGAGTGGTGGTGTCAGCGTGGCCCCTGGCCCAAGATTATGGGAGCCAGAGATGGGAGGGGCCAGTCCTGGCCATCAGGAAGCCACTGTTGTGTCCATGCTGGCTTCAACTGGAGGGCTGAGAGGTTACCCACTCATGGGGATATGCCCACCATTACTCCTGGAGTGGCTCCTGGGAATACTGTTTGAGGCTGTCAGTGTGCCTCCGGCCTGGCTGGCACCGGATCTCTGAGACTTTTGCCGGTGGGATGGTGGACCCTGGAGGGTCTCCCAAGTTTGGACCCAACAAGTATCCCAGGTCAAAACTCACTGTGCACCCTGATCACAGCTTCCAGAGAGCGGATGGCATTGGGGTTGGGTTTCTGTTTCCAGCCTTCTTCTGAAAGGGGATCCACCTGCAGAAACACTCCATCAGAGACCCGAGGGGCCCCAGGCTCAGCCTGCACAAACAGACATGAGCTGCTGGCCCTCTGAGGTCGGAAGACACTGGCCCCGGACCTGACCTGGGAAGGTTTCCACTCTACCATCTCGTCCCAGCCACACCCCTTCTCATCTTCTCTACCTGCTCTTTGTCCCGGAACTGTGAGAGTCAGGCTCACCTGCCTCATTTGAAGTATAGATAGCTGGGGTTCCGGAAGCTTACCTTGTTGCCCAGAAGAGCAGCCACACAGGCCTCAGAGGCATCACAGATGGCTGTGAGGTCATGGCCACCCTCTAAGGCCAACACCACGGCGCCTCCTGCCAAGGCCATTAGCTGCTGTGTCATGTACCCAAAACCTAGACGGGTGAGGTGGGAGAAAGAGCAGAGGGCTGGAGCGGAGAGAGGCAGACCCATTCCCGACCTCCGTCATTTCCCTGCTTGCTACCTCCTCTGTCGACAGTGTCTTAGAGATGAGAACCCCATGCGAACCCCACTCATAAGGCTTCATTCCGAGCTCGGAGAAGTTAAGGGTCTTATATACAGGGAGGGTCCCACAGCTGAGACTTGAATCCCAGCATCATCACCTCCAGCTCCAGTCTCTCACACTGGGCCACCTCTTTGTTCCCAGGCCCTGTGGCAGCGCGGACCACACTGACCGTCTGTTCTGAGAACGCGGCTCTTCTAACTTCCTCTGAAGCAGCTGAACGGCCCAGTCTGGAAGCCTGGCTTCTACAACTGGACTTCCATCTGGTAGACCTAAGTCTCCAGGGGTCTGACCCATGGAGGTCTGGCCTGGTCCTGTGCTGTGCTAGGCTGGGAGAACCCAGGGAATTCCAGGGCCTGCAGCCCTACTCCAGACCTCATGTGTGGCCCTAGACTGTGGCCGCCACTTCCTCCTGCCCCTTTTATTGTGGCAGTACATTCCTGTCCCCACACACCCTGGCTCTTATTCCCCACATCTCCCCCACAGCAGGGGCCCCCCTTACATTTGGCAGAAACATGGTAGCCACCCAGCGGGGCTGGGTGACCCTCGGCAGCATCAAACCCAGCGGACACCAGGACCAGGTCCGGAGCGAACTCTCGGGCAATGGGCATCACCACTATCCTGAAGTTACAAGGAGAGCCGTCACCCTCTTGGGCCCAGCACGTGGCACACAGCAGCCCATGCTAGCTCCTCCTGCCCACTTGGCTGAGGGCACCAAGACAGTCTCCTAATGGGATGAGCCGATGCCCTGATCTCCACCACCCTGGCTGTGGCTCTGGTACACCAGCCTCAGAAACCAGCCACACAGAGAATTTCACCAGCAAGGGGCAGAACAAAGACGACTATAATGGGATGAAAGACGTGCATGTTTGCATGCACGGTATGTGGTTCACAGCCAGCTGCACTCAGGCTGGCCCTGCTCACTAAGCCTCAGGGACTGGAAACATTCGGCACTTTGGCTGAAGTTGAACACACTAAGTTTAGAGCTGAGCCAGGCAACTTGCCACCTGAGAATGAACCAGGGCGGCGAGACCTGAGGTCCTGAGCTGCCAAGTTCCATCCTTCATCTTCTTCCCTCTGCCTGCCCCAAACCCAATGTTCGTGTCCCAATTTAGGCATTGAAGCTCGGCACAGACACCAGGAAGTCCCACTCAGGGCGCCTGAAGAATTAATTCTCATGGAGAGA